TGAGCTGCTGGGGAAGGCGATATTCCAATAATATTTGCTGACACTCCGTTGAGAAGTCCAACCCTCAATGAGCGTTCAGGCTACCGTCTTGGATGATGTGTCCTTTATCAACACCGCTACAGGTCATCGTGTGAACCTATCGATGCGGGAAAAAGTATGGTTAGAACCATTTGTAACCAGCATTGGTCCCACAATGTTGATGTGTTTGAATCTAGAAAGAACCTACTGCGAAACTAGTATGATGATGAATTCTGACTTTTCGATATTTCACGCATGCTTGTATCTAATTACTAACATCCCGGTTCGTGCTTGACTATGCAAAACGCTAGCTGATCAGCTTGATCTTTGCTTTTATGTAGAACAACTCAAAAAGATTAAACTGAGTTGTCTGAACAAAATTTAAAATAAACCATATGTGTCATGGCCATTCAGCAGTAAAATCCTTGTAAGTGAAGTACTCACACCATCGAATCAGTCTGATAGTTACCGATCTGTTATAATTAGCATTTTAAACTGATCTCCATCTATACTCACCTTATTTTTTGCCGTGTAATTAAGTATGTAGAACTAAATCTAGGATATTACCCCAGAGACACCAAATTTATATCTGAAAACAAACCTGGGTGCTACTTTTATAGTGAATAATTTCGGAGTTGTTCTGTTTTTAGGTTAGTTGATCCTGAATCTCTGCCCAGTGTTCCAAGATTTTCGTTAAAGTATCTCAAGTTATCTGATAGTAGCTGGCTATATGACGTACACTTATCGGCACTGATTGGTTTAAATGCTTCAAAAACTCTGAAATATCTAAATGTATCGAAGTGTTATCGTTTATTTCTTGGTCCTCCAGCATCCTGTCCACTGAACATGCGTTTTGAAAAGATGTCAGCCTTTCTTAAGCAGACTTGTCCGCACCTCGAAGAGTTGGACTTATCTTCAGTTTTTGTGTCACATAACATCCAAGTGCCTGTAACAACAGCATTGTTAAGTATGATACCTGATACTCTTCCTTACCTTCATACTTTGAATCTGTCAGAAAATCCAATGATTACTTCGTCTCTTTTAAATCAGTTATACGAAAGTCAAAATCTAAGCTCAGCACTTCAAAGCTTCATTACCTCGTTTTTTAATAAAATTCATAAATATAAAGTTTTTTTGTATATATATGACTGGCCACATAAATTAACTATGAGTTTATTTTCTGCATGTGCTCTTACTGTACCTGATGGCAGTACAGTATATTTGTATGTTAATGATGCTCCTAAATGTATAGAAGAAAATTCGAAATGTAAACTTATATCTTCAGTAACAAATGACCTTTGTTTTGGCTAAAGGATCTTTGTATATATTCTGTTTATATGATTTATATAGATATATATGGTCGATATTTGTGCGGTTTCACTATCTAACTATTCTTTATTTGCTCTGCACAAGTGAACTCATTTAACAGTAGATGGTGACACAAAGTTATAACTCTATAAATAACCTTGCATGTAACGACGATGCCGTTCAATTCCACAATATTTAGTACTGTGGTGAACGAGAACACCAGTGGGTACAAACGAGTGTATTCGAACACGAAATTACAGTCTCGTAGTGAAATCTGACATAACACTTACCTCATCTAAATTTCCAAGGGTTGAACTTTTACCAGGAGATTCACTTGTTGACTTAGAATATGTCGATGACATAGTTTTATTTGGTGAAGAAGCTGACAAAATGCAGAGTCTTCTGACCACCGCAAGCAACAATGCAAACATGTTCAGGATGCGATCCTCCCCCTCGAAATGCATAATGTTGCTTCAGGATTCAGTCGCATCGACACCTGAAGGAGTGAAGTAGTTGAGCGTGTCGACCACCCTACTTATCTTGAAAGTCTCATCAGGCCTTGTGGTATGGTGTGTGACGAAATCTCAGCACGGATACAGAAGGCTCGACTAGCTTTTGCCAACTTGCGTCATTTATAGCGTAGGTGAGATATCTCTCTACCAACAAAAGAACGGGTTTACTGCGCAGTAGTTTGTTCAGTCCCACTTTATGGCTGTGAAACATGACCGGTAAGAGTAGAGGATATTCGTAGGTTACTAGTATTTGATCATACGTGTCTTCGAAACATTGCTCGTATATCCTGGGACCACTAAGTAAGTAATGCAGTTGTTAGGAAACGGGCACTAGGTAAGGATGGCAAATCCATTGATGAAGTAGCGAAACTTCATCAGTTGAGATGCCTGGGACATGTGTTACGTATGCCCAACCAACGACTGCCCCGACGTGCGATGTTTTCTGGTGTAGAAGTAGGTTGGAAGAAAGCTAAGGGCGACCAGACCAAAACATGGCACTAATCCATGAAGTCACTGACAAGTGGACTAAGCCATGTTGGTAGGTGTGGACTACCTGGTTGGGATCCGCGAGATGACAACAACCGATGGTTAGAGACCTTGAATGACATGGTTCGAAATCGTTTGTAATGGCGCAAGTGCATCCACTCTTTGTGTTCTCCCAAATTCTAATCTGAATTCTTCATGTCCCTTTTTTATAAATTTATTTCACTGGATTATACTACTTGAATAACATCTTCAAACCCTAATGTTTCTGATTACTGCTTATACTTTTACTACCTCTATCACTACGGGATTTGAATCGACAATTGTATCTCTGTGCTAATATGGTATGGCAACTCGAACTCATGTACGTACGTACGAAGTTCTACGTCGTTGACTAACTGACTGAGTAATCGGAAATGGGCCAATGATTAGAAAAGCATAGACACTAATAACATTCTTAATAAGAGGTGTTCAGATAATTGGACCGTGAAACGTATATCTGAGAAAAAAATCTTTGTGTTCATAAGAAACTTGTCACACCCTCATCTCTCCCTTGGCCTTAATAAATGAGTTTATTTATTATTATTTTCCATACTCTCCGCTTATTTTTCTTCACACCCTGTATATTAGAGTGAAGCCTGATGAGGATCTAATTGAAAACAATATTGTTTGCTTATATATGTTGTTCTAAATTACAATGGTGATTGTTCATTGTGTAGTATGAAATTAATAGACAGTAGTCTACCCACTTTACACTTCAGGAAGATACAGAAAGTTTGTAGCTAAGGTGAAGAATTTCAGTAGTACCGTATTCAGTTAGGCACCTCGGTACTTATGTTTTTATTTTCATTCTGAGTAACAACACGCGCACACTTCTATGCACAGTCCCGTTTCATAGATTTTTAATTTGCTAACTAACCTTGGTTACGTCATAGTAGGATATGTGGGTAGACAGCTTTTTAGGACCCTTCAAAATATCTTCCAGTTAAGATTATTAATTGGTTATCTCGAAAGCCTATGTTTTTAACGTTTAAGATAAGATATTTCAGACATTCTTGCCCCTAGTTTATATAAAACTTCGGCTTTTTGTCACTTTAGCTGAACGGTTACCAAACCTTCATGTCCAAACGTCTGTTTCACTATCGTCGAAATATTCTCAACAAAAAGCTTGAGTTATTTATTCACGTTGTTAAGGAATGGAACAATATATCAATATTTCATTACACAAGTGATATCTTACACTGGTTAATTAGGTAAGAAGTTCAAACAATTCAAACCAAACATACTTTGTATCTGCACAGTGCATCTACAACACTACTTATGGCTGTCAGTATTAGCCTTAAAATTCTCGTAAACACAGATGTTACCTTTAAAACACCAAAAAGGTGTATCTCATGAAAAGGTACATACTCTACATCTGGTAAACTTGCACCAGACTAACTCGATGACCAGCCGTCTGAATGTCAGTAATATAATATAGATAGGTTTTAAATCCTACTCAGAAGACAGCTACAATGTTCACTTATGTATATTAAATTGCCATTTTTAAATAAGTATAATCATTTTGTTCATTACTATATATTTAGTACAGTATGAAATTCTCAGCATAAATTTCAATAAATTTCTCCTATTCTTCATATATACCACAAAAGTACACTTACATAAAATGGATTTGTTAAATTGAATGAAATTTTTGAAAAGAGTAAGTTGTTTAATAGTACGTCAGAAATCAACGTAATTAATTGGAGTGATCTCGGATTCCGCACTGGTTTAAAAATATCTTCTGCTTAAGTCGTCTGGGTTATTAGAATAACGTGATTAAACTTACTTTTTATTGAGATGAAACAAACTAGTATTGCACACTCTATTCATATGACAGCTGAATACAACAATAAGTTTAAACAGTGGAACTCTTTAGTGTTGCTCGAAAGTCGACAGAACATGTCTTCAGTCATGACCACTGTGTCGTAGATTCATCTTTTCAGCAAAAACAATGTAATTAATAAGTTCGCTAGAGGCGTAACTGAAATTTTTTTGTACTTTAAGGGTTAATGAATCCTTAGTATTCCTTATCACATAATTGTAAACCCAAGCCTACACATTCAGTGTACATATCACCTTTCACTTATTTTTGTATGGTGTATAATTTTTTGTCGTGCATCTGTCCTCACTTAATTTTTGCGATTTTCTGTTTTATGTAAATATTCATGAACATATGTTTTTTCCAACTAGTACTTTTTATTTAATTTAAGGTTGAATCCAGGTTATGATCACATGCTTGTCTCATTAGTTTTACTACATCTCCGCTCACATATTAGTGTGAAACTGTGTTATAAGTAGGTTTGTTTATTCTTAATCACTTATTCGGATTTGCGAATTCACAAACTGGTAGGTTTGCTAAGAAGAATAGTATGTGTTCGATAAAGAAGTATGTACGTTCAGTGAAGAAATTTTCATCCTGGCTAGTTCTATTTAATATACATTCGTTGAGAAATTAGTTACTCTCACGTCATATAGAAAGTATACATTTTTTAAAATTTTCTCTACAATGGTATCAACTTTCACGTTGTTTGAATTGAAATTACTTATAAGTGGTCAATCAACTAATCGTATGCGGTCGACTTAATAATAGTTAAGAAATAAAAATATTACGACTAGACAACATTGGAACACATGGTTACGTGTGTAATATATATATAGTTTAATCAGCTTAGTATTGATTAAAAATATAAAATCACTATTGTGATTCAGTAGAAGTAACCATAATCAACAAAGAGGTCCTGATAAAGAGGGATAAAACGTGTTTAGATTTTTCAGAAAAAATGAAATCCTAAGAAACGTTGCGTTCAAAGATGGTGTATTTTGTCAATGAGGACAATGATAGTACAAAATAAAGCCCAAATTAAAGCTATTATTATCCAGAAAAAGTTCTGAAATGGTGATGCATGCATAGAAATAGACAATAAATGATGGTTGGAACATTTTCCTATAATTGAAACAGAATGTGGTATTGTTATGTCATTTGTTGAACCATACATGATATTCTCATTCTCCGTATTATTATTGCTGGAATTTGGTTGTATCATTTGTTCACCAACAGTTGCCGATGTCGTATCATCACTTTGCTGTAGATCTGTTGTTGTTTCAAGATAAGATTCTTTCAGAGGAACACAGTGTGTAAAGTATCGACGTGCTTTAAATACTAACAGCGCTGGTATTATATACTGCATACCTGAACCAAAAATTGCCCCGGTAAAACCAGTTAAATATCCAACATTATTAGTTATTAATGCAATCCCTAATGGTGGCAGTAGTACGACAAATGGTAATGTGTACTTCAAAATGTTTTGAGCTCTGTCACTTCCGAATGCAGAGAAGAAGTTACATAAAGAAAAAATGTTCCCAAGTAAACTAGTTCCAACTATTGGAAAAGATGAAGTCAACGCAAACACAGGAAATAAACATAAAAAATAACCTATTATCAAAGCTAATGTATAAGGAATTTGTGATATGTCGATAAATTCATTGTTCGGTAGAAAATTCAGTGTGTAAATATCTTCAATATGATTAAATGCAATGATAGCTGTAGTAGATAATAAGAGGTTAAACGATAGAACTGTAATGAAGACAGGTATAAATATTCTACATAGTATTTTACTCTTATCTCTAACAGGAGTTACAATACCAGGTATAGAATGATGACACATAAATACGTACACACAAACTCCGAATAAACTTGGTATATTTTGAGGTTGAAAGGCTGGCGGTTTTGGAACTGGTTCAGATTTTATAAGTAATGAATAGATTGAAGGATTCCAATACATACTAACATTATGGTGAAACGTTGCAATTGTAAAGTTTTTGTGCAGAATAATAGCTCTTTCAATTGAAAAACTCAACATCAAAATAAAACCAATCCATCGTAGACAAACGGTCAGTAGTTGAAGCCATCGAGAACGAATTACATTGAAGAACAAGAATGGGCAAACACATGCACCAAAACAAACCTATGAGAAAAATAAGTACGACAAATTGGGGACAGTTGCCCTAACATTATGTAAATATGCTATTATATTTATCGTAGGATAACGTAACTTATCCAATAATTGTTTGGCTTGAAACTAAGATATATTCGGAACACTGTTTAACATGAATGCACCGTAATTCACGAAACATTTGATGATTTATATGGTTGTGAAACAGCAATTTAAAGCGCAAGAGCCGTGCGAATTACAGGCATTTGACCATGCATATAATCGTAACAATGCCCTTACGCGTGAGGTAATTTGGGTTGGTGTGTAAACTCTTCGGCGGAGAAATCAGATCTATAGATGTAGTTGTAAAGATGTACCCACTAAGATGGCTAGGAGACTCATAACAAGCGATTAACTGACAGATAATTCCCATTTAAAAATAAAGTTCAGAGAAGGGATCTTTTTTCAACGAATTTATTATCAAAGCTGTACAATCGTATATACATATAGAGATTTTTTGGTAAAGTACTAGTTCCATGAGGAAATGTGAACAAATAACCAAGATGACGTAATAGAAAGATTATAATACTAGATTGCGTAATATGAATAATAACAATAGACTTAGTAAGTTAGTAACAAATTATAACGTGAATGTGGTAAGATAACTAAAATGTTTTCGTTACAATAATTAAAGGTCACAGAGGTGTAAAAAAATAAATAAAGTGATATGATGGGTACTTATGAATAAAATAATGAGAATATGAGACATAAGTAAAGGGAAAATGCAGTAATAACAATAATTAAGGCCAAGGTAACGATAACGTGCTTCTGTTGTGCGCATAGTTCTGGCTTGAGCTCATGGATGATAAGACCTTCGTCTATTTCTAGGAGTTGGATACGAAGAAATCTAGGTAGATTTGAAAGAATCGTATATACAACCTTAAAATCAAATTGTGGATCCGTAAAATGATTACAGTCGATTAGGTGTTCATGTGTAGACCATATTGCCATCAGTCATCGTTGTCGCTCATTTTTGAATTGGGTGACGAGAAAACCAAAAGTAGGTTTCAGGAACAACTGAGGTCACACTTAGGTAGTTCTGAAAATGAGCCTCGCCCATATGTTGCTTGAGATGATATACAAATAGCTGTGGAAACGGTAGTGACATTTGTTAGTGATTTAGACCAAAGGATTACAATACACCGATGAATTTCTCCTAAGTTAATTGCACTGATGGATTCTCGTAAACTTCCCATCAGGCTCTGAACGCGATGAAGAGCGAAAACAAATCCGATCTAGAGTAAGCAAAAGTTTAAGGAATGACTGTGAGCAGTGGTGGGCAACGAAAGCAAAACAGATGGAGAAGGCGGCTGTAGGTAACACAAGACAGCTCTTCAGACTAACGAAAGAAACTGGAATTAATAAGTCAATTGTAAGTAAGACTATCTCGGAAAAAGATGACACTTATCTGCTCCCAGTTCAGACGTTTAGAACGATGGGCGCAACATTTTAGAGAACGGTTCAGCTGGGCTCTAGCTACTCTACAACTACCCTCCATCAACAGACAGCCTGAATGGAACATTGAAGTAGGTCCCTCAACTCTAGCTCAAGTTCAAAAGGCTATATTTATAAAGTGATTACAGTCGATTAGGTGTTCATGTATAGAACTCCTAACTGTTTTCCTCTCGCCCTTGTAGAACCAAACTGGGAAGTGTTCACGTATGTGACTTGAAAGCGATCGCTGGCTACGGCTAATGTACCTTGCTCCACAAGAGCAGATGGACTAGTAGATGCACAATGAGGTGACCAGAGAAGGAAGCTTATCCTTTATGGATATAGGAAATAAGTTCCTGCTACTGAAAGTTATTCGCAGTTTTGCTGCATTGAATGTTCTTTTAATCACTGTCGTTAAACGATTTTTGATTACATCAGAAGTTCGATCACCTTTCCAAACTCGTATAGAGGTTTTTCTTTAGAACGGAACAACCAGAATTCTTTTTATATTCTTATCTACGAATCGGTCTGGACAGCCATTTTCCGTTAGAGTTTTCCTGGAAAAATCGAATTCCTCGTCAATGCATTTCGTATTACATATCCAATGTATTCGATGACATAAAGAGTGAATGAGATTTCTCTTACTGCTCGAAGGAACCCAGCCATAGAAGTTGGTCAACTGGCTATTCCTACTTTTGGTTTTCTCGTCACCCAATTCAAAAATGAGCGACAACGATGACTGATGGCAATATGGTCTACACATGAACACCTAATCGACTGTAATCATTTTACGGATCCACAATTTGATTTTAAGGTTGTATATACGATTCTTTCAAATCTACCTAGATTTCTTCGTATCCAACTCCTAGAAATAGACGAAGGTCTTATCATCCATGAGCTCAAGTCAGAACTATGCGCACAACAGAAGCACGTTATCGTTACCTTGGCCTTAATTATTGTTATTACTGCATTTTCCCTTTACTTATGTCTCATATTCTCATTATTTTATTCATAAGTACCCATCATATCACTTTATTTATTTTTTTACACCTCTGTGACCTTTAATTATTGTAACGAAAACATTTTAGTTATCTTACCACATTCACGTTATAATTTGTTACTAACTTACTAAGTCTATTGTTATTATTCATATTACGCAATCTAGTATTATAATCTTTCTATTACGTCATCTTGGTTATTTGTTCACATTTCCTCATGGAACTAGTACTTTACCAAAAAATCTCTATATGTATATACGATTGTACAGCTTTGATAATAAATTCGTTGAAAAAAGATCCCTTCTCTGAACTTCGTGTTATTAATTAGTTCAATATGTTAAACGTTCAGCTCAACATTCGACCACCCTGTTAAACAAACTAACGGTGATCAATCTATAACTATAAATTCATTGACTGTTGCTTTGAGTGGTGTAACACAAGATTTAAAATTTATTAATAAACATTTTTGAGTGCTAGAAATCAGTAACTACAAATCACAAACAACATACATCAAATGACGCAACTGATTTCACTGTATGTTCTTTTGACTAGTTATTTTCCTTTCCCCACCTATTTCTTGAGTAGCAGCTCAATAAAAGTCATGCATTTCGGTAATCAGCCTGCTGAGAAACATTTTTTAGCACAGATTAAGGAATGTAGAAGGTATGACGATTAAATTGCAAATGTCAGCAACCGAGCGAACATAGGTTCATCCAGAGGAAAACGGAAATAAAACAGATTAAGACTGAGTAAAAATAGGAATTTAACAGGACACATGATAGTTCATTAATCTGGTACACATTTATTTGCCAACGCTCTTTCAATGAAAACAAGAGTATTTACGCTACGACCCGGTTAAATGAAGTAAAAAACAGATTGAAAGAATTGTTGCTCTCTACTAGGCTTTTCACGAACATTTTACTATAAAAGCGAGAAAAGGAGCCATTTAAACCGTTAAACAACCAATCACCATATAATGTTCATACAAGGAAGATACGTTTCAGTATTTGTACTAACCTTATTTGCTTTTAAGATACTAATTATATGCCAAATACTAGAAGTAAACAAGTTAACGGAAATAGATACAAAAATAACTTTCTAGCCGAATATATGGGTGAGAAAACGAGATTGAATAATAACTATTTGTTAAATAAATTTATTACTGAAAAAGAAGCTAGACAACAGATACCCATTATTATGTTTTAAACTTACCAACCCTCCTCAATATTTTAGTTAACGATGTAAACGGATTCACAGATGAATTTCGTAACTTAGAAACGTATCCTTTTTCTGTAATACTATGTAAATGTTGTGAGTAGTTATCTACTTAAAAAGATAGTTTTACTCTTTTACCAAATCCATTTGCTGCACGAAAAATAGAATTTCTATAATTACCCTGTTTTTCCTTAAGGTTGAGAACTCCCAGGAATAACTGAGTAACATAAAATGCGCAAACTATTTACAATAATCATGGTTTCAAATTGAACCTTTTCATTCATTACCCTTTTTTGATCATAACCTTTGATTCCTTATGAAGATTGCTTCACAAACTGACTATACAGCTAATTTGAAACTGCTATGCATTTATTGTGCATAGACCTAAAGATGGTTCGTTTCAAAAAGTCAAGAAATTTAATGAAACATTTTTCCAAGTAGTTTTCTGAAAACTTCAGTCAAGTTTCATCAAGTGATTATGACAGACTGGAGAACGATGGCGATCTTTCTTAAGGCCGCAAGTGAGCCCTTTCGATAAGTCCCAAACCAACACAAAACAGTTGACCAATGGTCTTTGGTCTTTAATAATTCTGTCGTTTGATTTTAGGTGACGAAAAATATTTTCAAAGGAATTCCTGTCCGGTGTATTGTTCAAACTAAGCTACAAAAATTTCTCTATATAATTCATGCTCTACTACATAGATAATTAAATTAATTAAAGTAAAATAATTTAGTAAACTTGGCTACAGAGACGCTAATTCAGTCGGTGTCACCATCTTGAAACATCGACTTCGGTGGCTTTAACATGTCCTGCGAATGTCATCCCAAAGGATTCCACAACGCGCATGATTTACCGAAGCTGGGACTGGTTGGATAAAGTGGAGTCGTTGTATGAAAGAAAGCTGTACAGGACTGACTTCTATTGGTCCTTCATGACTCTCTGGTTAGGGTCCCAGAGATGGTACAACACAATGGCTAGAGACCTTACCAGACATGATTTAGAATATAAATCAGTGGCGGTCCTGTTGTAACTTTCTTTTACTTTATTCAGAAAAGTGAACGTAACTTCTTTATCTGAAAGAATTCTTTCTGTTAATATTTTTGCTAACTTAATTGCTTTTTTCATTATTACCATCTCACTCTCATACACTAATCTCTGTTCGATTTTTTTTATCATACGCACTTTACACTATCCATCTTTTCACAACTTCATTGTTATTGTGTGGCGCATACGTATCTGGTGCCCCCTTGTACCAATGTTTATGTTAAAATAAATAAAAGTAGGACTTTACAAAATAATAATTTAGGCCAAAAAATAATTATTTTTCTAACACCACCTTCGTATAATACACTTGTTTGATTGACAAATTTACTATAAAACCCTATGCAACTATGACGTAAAATGAGTAATGACGAAGAAAGTTAAGAGCATATGCTAGTAAATTGATATTTTTCAATAAGACATTGTAAACGATGTGATCGGGATTGTATTAATTATAATATGAACTGACATATCGTATACAACCGATAACAATGAGTATTATATGACAAATATTACCGACCAAAATAATAACTTACAACTAATATCCTATACACGTCTAAGCGAGTGAGAGATGACGATTCCCAACAAAGATCTGAATCCGACAAAGAATCCCGTGAGTTATTAAAAGAACTAAAATATGTTAAAAAATTATTAGTCTCTTTCAAGGCAAAGAACAAACACTTTCTTATCACAAATAAATCAATTTATTGTTGCCATATACACATTCATCTATTTAGTATTTTCGAGCACACTCCGAAGTATTATTTTTCATACGAATGCCAGAGTTGAAATTTTTGATACCAATCAATAAACAATTTAGCTGTTGACGATAGATAAATCCTGTAATTCTTAACCATTGAAAAGGTTAGGAATATTTGATAACACCATCTTTCGGGTAAAGGGTGTTGATAAAGAATGTGTATACAACGTTAATAGTGTGAGTCAGCCCATGATGTTGTCAACCTAAAATGAATAGGGTAGTGAGAATGCTAGACAATTTGATATAATCATGCTTTTGTGAAGGTCAGTTGCTAAAGTAACAGAAAGCTGAAAGGTAATGCTACCAAGAAACAGGTTAGTTGAAAGCTTATGTAAGGTTAATCTTAATTTAGGTTCACAAGCCGCAGGGGCACTCGTCAAGGATAATAATTGCTTTACAAAGAAAATAAAACTAAGGAAATGTCCAAGTAACTCAGAATAAACGATTTATTCGAAAACGCAAACTCTTATAAACTAGTTCCAGACAAATTTGGCCAAGTGAAAAATACAAGAATAGATAGCTAACTCAAAAATTATAAGAAAAAGATGCGGCAAATTTGAATGACTGTAAGGTGAATATTATAAAATTCTGACTAACCAGATAACATTGCGTAACGACTTTGGAACTGCTGAAGAGTAAATGGTCAGGTCACCATATAAATACGCACAAATGTTGATGTACATCAAAACGTTCCCCACTTTTCCAAAATAAAAGAGCGACATTTGACCCTGAAAAGAAGTATTACAAGAAGAGAAAACCCTAACAAGCTCGTATTTCTCCGTAATTTCGAAGTCACTTGGGACAATTCTAGTTGTACCTTTGGAAAAGAACATATAAAAGAGCTGATGACGTACCACCAGACATTCTACCAACCAGAATTTCATTATCTTCATGCTGTTCACCCTCCTAAAGTAAAGTAAGCTTTTAAACGCGATAAAAACTTGCGAACACGTAGATATTTAGATTTGAGTAATGCATTGGTTATAGATAACGCTTCAACGACAAATGTAAAAGTTAAAAAGCTGAGAGAATAGAAAGTATGCAACTTACCTCAAAAAGCACAGAATAACTACAACACATACAGAGATCAACCATCCTGCTTCCTGAAACGCGGCTGGAAGTGTCAAAACGCCAGTGCCCACAATTATGTTAAAAAGAAAAATAAATCCAGTCTACAAATAATTTCACTCGACTGAAAGCTAACCAAAGAAGAGTATCCACTTCCTACCGAGATCGGTACATTGGACATCGTTAGGTGGAACTCGATCAGATGCCTTGATTTGCGTTAGAGTATATAATTAGGTGAGTAGAGACTCTTCGCCTAATGAGCGCCCGTCTAATTGCGGTTACCAAACTCAAAGTGCAGATGCAGACAATCGATTATTCAGTAGTTTGCAAATCACAAGCTGCATCTAATTGTTACGAGATACGACCTTGAACGTTTGAAAATTTGCGTCGTCGAGTTCTGGCTAATATAAAACATCTCCATGGTAAAACAATAACCTTTGAGATTATATTGATATATTACAAAAATAAGGATATGCACGTGAACGACAATTTCAAAAGGCGTTTTTAGGTCATTTTAAGTTTTTGATTTCAAACAAGGATAGTTTAAAACAGTGAAGAAGACGGTAATAAACTAAACTTCAGTTCGTAATTTCGGTCGTCTACTTAGCGACCAATCAGAATGAAGCTAGAGTTATTACTTTTCCCATCTTTGTAGGCAATGGCGGCCGGCCTACCTTGTTCTGTTTTTTCTCTGGTTTTGGTGTTTATGCAAAATGAAATCATTTCGAGAGCTGAAATTCCGCAAATCATGCGATACTCTAAATTTTATTTCAGGTTACAACTATGAAAGCTAAAGGGCGATATTACCATAAAGACGTCTGTGATCAATCTTCACCTAACTTGCGGTTTCTGAGGATGACAAGCATATGAATAAATTTCTATCGTCTCAATTCTTACTTCTTGTTTTCTTCTGTTATTCACTTGTTTCAAAGCATTTGAGTGGTTTCTTTACGTCATGGTGTTTTGTCCGAACATGATGGACCTAACGAATGAATGGTTACATAACACTACTCGAATCACTTTAGGGCAGCCTTATTATGTGCATGTAGCGGTAAATAGATCTCCGAAATAAATAGTTCTGGAAGTCTTCGACATTAATGCTGACCATATTGGTTTAACTGTACACACCTAGCTTGGGATTCTCTTGGTCATGAATTCGCACCAGATGATAAGTTAGTACACCGCGCGACGCATCTCTTTCACTTGTTAGCCAGCTTAGACAAGACGCTTCTTGATATATCGATAACCTTCCAAACATACCCTCTAACTACTCCATCTTCGATTTTTTATTTGACTGGGTTAGCATACTTCGGTTATAAAGGTGTTACGTACAGAGACGTTAAACTCCGATTACCTATGGCATTTGGAAAACCTGATGAGATCACTAAAAATATTTCAACTAAGTTTTATCTACTGCTACAGCCATTCAACACCTATTACTTCCCTCTGCCTTTTGTTCTCATTTAAATCAAATATCTTTTTCATGGGCTTGTCCAAGCCGATTGGCTTGTTTGAAATCATTTCTCGTTATTTCAGTGCAGTTCCTTGCATTTAGTTATGCCCACAGGCCACTTTACAACACTAATTCTAGTCAGTCTGGTAGTTATTCGTGAATCTGTATATCTTGTAGTTAGGTGAATTTATTTGTCTTAGGTCACCAGGGTTTCTGGATACCAACAGGTATCACATCATCAGGCAGGATGCTGATGGGTTGGAATGTAAAAATAATAAAATGACAACTCGAGCGCTAAGAGAAGACGATTGACTAATGAATAAATACAAGAGTTAGTTAGTAATGTGTAAGATGACGGAATAGAGAGAATAAGAGGGGAAAGGGGTTGATAATAAGAGATAAGAAGCGCTTACCTACATGTGGTAATGACAGCCTTGGTAATTTATGAAACATGCATTGGACACAGCTGTTCCAAGGGGGAGATAATGATCTATGAGTGAATATATGTTAGTAAAGTCCCCTATCAAAGCTATCCACTGAAAGAGCTATGGACAAAATTAACCATTTGTATAGTTAAATAGATCCCCGAAGTAAATAGTTCTGGAAGTTTTCCACCTTAATGTAGACACCTATTTACATATATTAGATTATCAATGATTGGTTTTCCTTACGTACGTTTACCGATTTTATACTTCAAATTATTCACACATTGAACGATTATAATCTTGCCAAAATTGTGTTTGACATACTTGGTAGTCTGCTCAGGATCACTCCCAGTTTTTTATCGTGGGCAGAATAGCTTGAAACTCTTCATTGTTTGATCTCCTGAACCATGCACCACCCGACAGGTGTTTTTCATCGCAAGAATGGCTATGGATCATCTTAGGTGAAGCTGTAATGTACCGGTTGGGATCATAGCGCATACGAAACACGGCTTCGCAACCAGTCAATTTTGATCTTTAAGAAAGTGAGCCCAATGACAGTCATTTACCCTTTTACTTCCACACTACGGCCCTCTGGCTTTCTTTTGTGGCCAAAACAACAGACACATACTACATTCTAGTAGTGAATTTCTGGCTTTCCAATGTTACGCTTTCATTCATGCTCAACATAATGTGTACAACTCACCCATTAACGTTTTATGGCATATTTTCAATAAAAAACTTTCTGAAATAGAGCGATGGAGTAGGGTTATCCACAATACTGAAGAAAATAACAAACCACGGATTGTTTTCTTTCAGTGCTCTCGACAATATCATAAATGACAGTTAGGAATGAACAGTTAGAGAACCCCACGAGGGAGCAACATTTTTCTTTATTATAAAAAACTAACCCTGGCTTCCAAAATCTACAATACAATACTCTAAACAAAACGGACCAATATTTTATCTTAAAACAAGCGAGTTTGCCTAAACGGACACACTGACTTGAGTAGCAGCAAAAATCGAGAAAAAGAAATGGATTAAAAAAATTATCACAAACACCTAGATTAGTACATAAGTTGAAGAATTTCACGTAGCAAAACAAAAATTATGCATCTATACAAAAACAGCGGAAATCCATTAATTACAAAAGATGGTGTAACTGATAAGTCCCGCTTCATTCTGAGTAGTCGATAAGTAAACTGCCAAAATTACGAACCGGAATTGAGTTTAATTCCAGTCTGCAATTGAGCTGACGAGTAAAACTATGACTTATGGACGAGCCTTAAGCGGCGCTAAAGCAACCTTAGGAATGTTCACTTACTAACCAGGGCTAAATGCGTTTTATGAGCCTGTGTGAGTACGCATTATGATTTGCGACTGATGGTTATGGTAAGGAATTTGGTTTACGGTTTTCATTTCGTAATAACATCAATCAAAATGCCAAAACGCCCTTTAGCCAAATAAATAAATGAATTTTGTGTCGAAATCCATGACCAGTCATCGTAAATTTGATTGGTTTGTCCATATATCATAGTTTCACCGGCGAATGAAACTACGAATGTTACAGAGTCTTTTCATGTTGTGTTTTAAAATTTCTTAACACCCTCGCATTGATTTGTAGCATCCTTTCAAACAGTTCGTCGTCGTTCAAGACCATGGAAGAAAGTAAGTATTTGTCAAACCTAGCGGGGGTGTTGTTTACGAAAATGAGAGGACGAAAAAAGCGAATGTCTGGCGCTTTAACCAAATTCCAAACCAATGGTGCACATGGGCTCCAGTATCCTGCGGGAACAAATGGCGTATGAACCAATCGTTGGTCACCGGCTACCATGGGACTGCATCTCCTTACGATGCTCCACTGCCTTATGGGTTAGACCTTTAAGTCAAAGGCTCGGGGTGTGGCCCCCTAAGATAACCACCTGCTTCGGTCTGGGCACCCGGGCAGTATCACAGCCCACACACAAATGATGAACTCTCTATATCTATGGAAACTACTTTTATCGCTTCGAAAAACAATCAAATGCTTCAAAGTATTATCATTACTATTATTATCGTCATTATTATTATTGTTATTATTTACTACATCATTATTCACCCTCTTTTATTCCTACTCTGTCTATACTTATTTTTTCGGTTTATATAGCAGCTCGTCTCTGGTGGAAATTCGACTGTATCTAAACGTTCTCGAGTCACTGTCCGGTTGAAAATTGTATGTTACCACCGAATATGAGTACTGAAGCAGTTTTTCTGAAACCACGTGCGCCATTCAAACTGGCTGCCTTCAACGTTCGCACACTTATGCAGGTCGGACAACAGATAGGGCTGGCTATGTCTTTGGAAAGTCTTCATATCGATGTCTGCTGTCTATCCGAGACCCGTATTCAAGACTCTGATGAAGTACTACAAATTCGCTCTCTATCTGTCACTTCGAAAAGCTTGTTTTACATGCGCTTATCCGGGGACCCTGTGGCATCTTTGTCTGGTCTTGCTGGCGTTTGTGTCGCATTAAGCGCTAGAGCTGAGACAGCACTAATCGATTGGATCCCCATTAACAGTCGGTTATGTGCTGTTAGATTAGAAAGTTCCATCAAAGTGAGAAGAAATCGGCGTGAGAAACGATGTCTTTTCGTCATCTCCGCCTATGCCCCGACAGATTGCAGCCCGGATGCAATCAAGGATGAGTTTTGCCACCACTTATCTGTTCTTCCCCAGGAAGTGCGTTCGTCGGATATTGTAGTACTAGCTGGAGACTTGAATGCTCAGGTCGGGCGTCTAGGCGCAGAAGAGAGTCGTTTAGGTGGCCGATGGGGACTCGTTGGTTGCAGGTCAGATAACGGGGACCATCTACTGCAACTTTGCACAGACCACAACCTGTTTCTGGCTAGCACTAACTTTCGGCACAGTCATCGCCGATGTGCCACCTGGCGTCCTCCCTCTGCACCTCAAGCCTGGACTCAGATTGATCACATCGCGATCAGCTACCGCTGGCGTGGTTGTGTACAAGACTGCCGCTCCTTTTGGAGTACCTATCTGGACTCTGACCATGCCTTGGTCTGCGCCAATCTTGCCTTACTTTTCAGTGGCCAACGAAGTGACCGCCACCAAAGGATTGATGTCAGCAAGTTGGTTGCAACTTCTGTTGCTAATAAGTATCGAAACCGAGCTAGTTTCTAGGCCAGCTACCATTCCACCGAAAAGTATAGATGAGCATTGGTTGCAATTGCATGACTCCATCAAAATGGCGAGTACAGTCAGTTGTGGGTTCGCGAAACGTCCCGCTTATAAGCACTGGGTTTCTTCAGGTTCCTTACAACTCATCGAGATCCGTCGTTCTACTCCAGGTGACCGTGAGTTTGACCACAAACGAAGGATGTTACGTAAGGAAATTGGGCAAAGCTTGCGTAAGGACCGAGACGCCTGGTGGTCGGAGCATGCTAATGAGTTGGAAGCAGCAGCTGCATCTGGTAATTACCGGAAGCTCTTCCAACTCATCCGAGCCACTGGCAGCAAGAAGTCTGGTGTGGGCGAAACAATCTGCGAGGATGATGGGATGCCAGTCACTAACATCCATCGACGTCTTGGACGATGGGCAGAATTTTTCGAAGGGCAGTTCAACTGGCCTGCTGCTC